CCCCGAAAACGAAAAATTATCGGACACAGGTTCATGATTGCCGTCGTGCCAGGCGCCGTGATCGGCGCGTAGCGTCAGACTACACTCCGTAAGCACAGCGCATGAGGTTCTTCACAGATTCGGGCACAGGGAGTAATGATAACGATTTCGCCTTTACTTCTTTTATTTTTCAATATATTCACAGAATACAAAAAATTGTCGAAAAGGTCTTTATGGAATTGACAAAAAATGCGAGAAAATAGTTTTTAAATCACGAAAACCGTGTCGCACCGTTGAGCTAGCTCAACTCAACGGTGCAAGTGGGACATGGCCCCCGTTTATAATCTGTCTTGGTCGAATTCTGCCAAAGTCAAAAAGTGCAAAAAAAAAAAAAAAAAAAAAAAAAAAAAAAAAAAAAAAAAAAAACCTGTCAAAAAACATCATGCTGCGGGTACTGCCTGAATGAAACGATGTGGAAGACCCAACCAATACATGTTTTTTTTCTTTTTTTTTTTCTTTCTTTTTTCAACCATTTGCTCTTTATCTATTCGTGGGAAGCAGCTCCATCCGACCAATAAATCGAACTCTCTCAGACATAAAATAATAATGCTAGCTCGCCTCACTGGGACATCCTCGACCAATACCCTAGACCTCTAGATGCAGTGTCGTTTCAACATTCACAGCTGAGCCTCCAGGTTTTCTTTCCTTCTTTTTTTTTTTTTTTTTTTTTTTGATAGAGTAGGCTCTCCTACAAGAAGAAAAAAAATAGAGTAGGCTCTCCGGAAATCTCAACAGTGTTCGATGACATGGAGAAGGCAGCTTTCATAAAAAAATATATGGCTCAACAGTCGGATGCAAAATCTAATGGGGAAAAAAAAAATGGGTCTAGCCCAGATGGACAATCTAATAGGCACAGCCTATGTGCATACAGGGAAGACTCTCCTCAGGTTCTGGCAATACTCCACTGCCACACCCTTAATCATTTTTTTCTCACCGGAAGAGAATTTTCCCATGTGTCAGGTGTCAGGTGTCAGATCCACCGCAGGCAGGCTACCGGTGGAACACCAAAAGCGAGGCCTTCTTGTGCGCATTCACAACGCTTTGGTCTAGGCATGCGGCAGCAGGGATGGTTTGAACCTACCGTCCTCAACCGAATATTATCGCTGTACGTAGACTGAAAATTGCACCAAATATGGCTATAATCACCGGGCGTTCTATTCGGGTGAAGACCGTAGGGTGAAGACGGTAGCTTTGCCGGTCCAAATTGGGAGTCCAGGGGAGTCAAAACTGCCAACTTGTAGCGGAGCTGCAGGACGGTCTTGTCGAAACCTGCACACCAAGCGCGTCCGATACGCGAATTGGGCATATATTCTCATGCAAAGCGCAATGAGGGAGGCTCCAAAAGTTTGTGACAAAGAGAATAATATGGGGCTCGCTCCACTACACAACAACACGACAACACAACAACAACACTCGACATGCATTTGGCTCCAAGATTCTGGACCAGGTGCATTCGGACGGGATCAAATGCCCTAAACCAACTGCCTACATTTTTTGCAGGCGTTCTTCCTCGGAAAGATGTCCTAAGGGGTCCCCTTTACAGAAACCGTGGCGATGATCCCTCGTAATATGACTCCGGGCGCTAGGTCCCACTTGCACGAATTAAGAGATGCTGACCGTAGATCGCAAAGATCAACGGCCCAAATCTCCTCATTTGCACAAGCGGGGACCTTGCCCCGGGAGCGACACTCGCAATCAACTTCCGAATCGTCGGAGGGAGCAAAGAGTGGAGATCAAGGTCAGCGACCTTTCGTCAATGCCACCAAGGGAGTCCTTCCACCAATCTATCCTGCAGCCAGCCAGACATCCTGGCCCATGCAAACATGGCCCCCAGACGGTGACAGCCATCCAAACAGGAGTGACGGGAGACGGAGAAAAGATGTTATCAAGACACAAGTTTTGTTGCCATTTTTTAATAGAAAAAAGTTCGACAACTAAGCACAGAATTCTTTAAAGGGAATTTGGTTTTGGACAAACCCCTGAAAGTTTTAAGTGTATATCGGCGTGCTCCAGCGAAACTCAACTACTCAATGAATGTGGCTCTATTTGAGGGGAAACTAGATAAGCCACCAGTACCTCCGTGCCTCTTTTCCCCATTCGGGTGTCTGCTGCCTGCCCTTAAAAAAAACGAACCCACGCAGGTGTGTTCTATTTATTCTCAGTCTGGTCTGGTGGATGAAAAAAGTTATGTCAAAACCCAAAGGGCGCAGAGCATTTGCAACCAGCCGCATGGGAACGAAGTAACTGGCAAAAGTACTGGTGGCATAAGGAGGGAGCCACTCTCCACAGTTACATTACGTACGTACTATAAAATTATAAATGAGCAGGCAGCCAGATTCGTCAGATTTGGCACCGCCTCGACGGGCACCTAAACAAGCCACCAAAACCATGATACCAGAAATAGGGTCTCGCTCAACTTCTCTGTGCTCTCCAAAATATGGGAAGAGTATTTGGAGAGCTGTCAGACTCTCCAATCTCCAAAAACATGGTGTGTTTGGAGAGCAGTCGGACTCTCCCAAAAAGCCGAAAACACATCACCGCTCCACTTACGCTCCATCGAAGGACTCTCCCGATTGGTTAGTGGTCAGAAAGCACCCACAGAAGATATCCCCAAGAGCTCAAAAAGACATCTAAAAATCCCTATTTACCCACCCAGACTCCACGTATGTTACACTCTCCAAGCTCCGGTAGTGCCTTCCAAGGTTGTGCTCTTGACAGCTCTGAGCTCTCCAAGAGTTTTTCAAGGGCCCATGTGTTCCGAGAGCTCCGCAAGGCTTAAGAGTTTTCCGGGGCCCAATTAGGATAGTAAGTAGAGCGGTGCCCAACTCTCCAGATTTGGAGAGGTGAACACATAGCTTAGCTCTAGGGTAGGGTAGGGTAGGGTAGGGTAGGGTAGGGTAGGGTAGGGTAGGGATATAAGTCGCTTGGGCTAGTCTGAGTTCCGCCCTAGTCGACCCCGCTGACCAGCATAAAACTGCGTTCAAAACTCGCGACGGGCTGCTGCAGGAATTTACCGTCATGCCCTTCAGTCTCACGAATTCACCGTTATACCCTTCCAAAGTATCATGGACAAGGTGTTCCACAGTCAGATCAATGGATTTGTTGTTGTTTATTTGCACAACATACTAATCTTCAGCAAGTCGATGGAGCACATGAGAGTCATGATGAGACACCTTGAGGAAGTGTTGCGCATCATCAAGGATGCGCAGCTCCATGATCAGAGTTTGGGAGGGGACAGCATCATGTACCTTGGACATCAGCTGTCCGCAGCAGGCCTAGAGCCCGAGGCAACCAATGCCGAGGCCATCCACAAATGGCCTCAACCAGCAAATATCCGAGAGTTGCCTTCTTTTCTTGGTCTTGGGGAATCAAGGGCCAACCTTCTTCTCCTGAATACAACGTACAGTCATTATAGCTGTATCTAGACAGAAGATGCCTCAAAATAGGGGCTCGTTAGACACTCCTTGGGGCGTCCTCGGGGCCAAAGGAAGTATCCTCGGGGTTTTTGAAGGAAATTCCCACCGTCGTTCCACCTATCCTTGGGGTGGTTTCACAAGGATGATTCCTTTCGGCCGCCAACGACCATTTTGCCTTGGTCCATCACTCGATTACGACAGAGCTTTCAGAAGTCGTACTTCGGACATTATTCGGCACAGGTGGGAGAAACTTGGAGGCTATCAATATGTCAAATCGTTATCGGCACCAAACAGTCAAACATTGTCAATGTTGAGTCATTAAAAAAAAAAAAAAAAAAATACAAGCAATCAAAGAGCAGAGTTGTTGTTGATATACAAACGTAAGATGGACAAGCAATTACCTGCTCGTTTTACCTCAGCCGAGCATCCCGTTACTCTATAGAGAGACCATTTGGGACCAATGGACCATCGCCGTAGAATCAAGCTTCATTGGAGAATTTACCTCCACTAACCAGAGCGAGCGTGAGACTTGGAGAGAGTGGCACGGAAGAACATACAAACCGAGCAAGATCGGAGTGACAGCATAACAGATAAGAGGAGAGAGAGAGAGAGAGAGAGAGAGAGAGAGAGAGAGAGAGAGAGAGAGAGAGAGAGAGAGAGAGAGAGAGAG